AGAAGACGACGAGGAACAGCTGGAGTCCTGTAGCAGAGGAGGGAACTTTAATATCAGTGCATCTGGACATAAAACACAAGTCCAGAAGGATCAACAGAAAGATTCAAACCTTGTCCTTCTTCTTCGTAGTCTTTTTCTTCTTTTTCTTCTTCTTCTTCTTCTTCTTGTCATCCTCACTGTCAGAAGACGAGGAACAGCTGGAATCCTGGAGAGGGTGGATTGTCAAAAACCGAAGCAGGGAGCAGATTCCAAATGTAGAGAATTTTGCCAGTGTACAAACCTTGTCCTTGTTCTTCTTTGCCTTCTTCTTTTTCTTCTTCTTCTCGTCTTCACTGTCTGAAGAGGAGCTATCAGATGAAGAAGAGACGCAGGAAGAATCCTGTAGATCAAATTAAAATGCAGTTAAACGCATTACCAATCACAACTCCGAAAAAATGACAAGTACTACCACCGTTTAAGCTTCATACTTGCCTTCTTCTTCTTCTTCAGCTGCTTCTTCTTCCTCTTTTTATCCTGCTCATCTTCTCCTTCTCCCTCGTCGTCGCTCAGGTGACCCTCTTCAACGCCGTCAGGGAATGGCTCAGCTCTCCCTGCAGTTCAAGTGACATCATTACAGCCCAAACACAGGGAATTATTGGAACTTTGTCAACGTTTAATGGCTGTTAGTGTGAGCGTGCAGAACTCACCAAAGGCGGGTTTGCCAATTTCCACCGCTTCCAGATCTGCGTCTCCTTCTCCGACGCCAACACCTGCAGGAAAAAGCATCAGGAAAATGCTGCATGAGAATTACGAACCATGTCCCTCAAATCCATTTTACTCCTTTCTTTCTTCCCCACTCACTTTCTCCTGAAATAGGAGTAGAACCGCTAGCTTCTTTCTCCTCTTCATCCTATAACAGAAAATGTACAGTTGAGCTCAGAATATTAGCTCTGAATGCATGTCTGTCGCTAGTGAAACAGGGCTGCTGAGATTTTTGGTGCCTACAAAAGTGCCATATGGTAAAAGTTTCCAAGCACACACACATTTGAACTCATGACCAGTGGCCCATGCTGGTGAACCTATTAGTAGCACCGCGCTCTAACCAGCCGGGCTAATCTTCCAAATTTCATTGTACTGGAAATGTATAGTGACAATAAAGCTCATTCATTCATTCATTCATTCAACTGGCCCAAGCAGCTAGGTTGAGACAAGACACTTTACCTTTTTCTTATCCTTCTTTTTCTTGTCCTTCTTTTTCTCATCTTTCTCGCTGTCAGAAGATGAGGATGAAGAACAGGAGCTGGAATCCTGCAGCAAATTTTTTTTTAACAGAATAGGATTTTCAGTTATATCCAGTAAAATTGTATAATTCGGTCTGTAGCAGCTCCAAAGGTGCAAATGGTCAAACAGAGAAACCCCGGTTTCAATGGTTGAGAAACCCTGGGATGATTCTTTCTACCTTGGAAAAACAATGCACAGAAAGCTGTCCAATGAATCAAAATACATCTACCTTTTTCTTGTCCTTTTTCTTTTTCTTCTTTTTGTCTTTCTTCTTCTTGCCATCGTCGCTGTCAGAGGATGATGAAGACGAGGAGGAGCTGCTGGAGTCCTGTGGGAAAGGTGCAAATAAAATGAGTAGAATCTGAGTTCTGACGATGAGATCAGACAGTAACTAGATTAAAACAGATATTTTCTGCAAAACACCATCTTCTTCTTCTTCTTTTTCTTCTTTTTCTTCTTCTTTTTGTCATCCTCGCTGTCGGAAGAAGATGAAGATGAGGAGCTATC